CTCACAGAATGTGAAAACAAGAAAATCTCATGCAATTATGTAATTATAACCTTGTCAGTACAGTTCTCATTAAGTGTTATGCAATTAAAGCCTGTGCAATAAACTGCTATGAAGGTATTTCCTTAGTCCTGATCAGTACAACATAACCACTTGTTGCAGATTGTAAATACTAAAAAGAGCTGCTACATTGTGTTGTTTTTCATTGTGCTTTTTTTGTGTTCTACAGGAAAAAGTAGAATATGCCTTCCTGATAATTTTTACAGTTGAAACATTTTTGAAGATTATAGCATATGGATTATTATTTCACCCCAATGCATATGTTAGAAATGGATGGAATTTATTGGATTTTGTAATAGTAATAGTAGGGTAAGTAACTTCTATCTTTCATTATACAAATATTTAATTTTCTTTTTTACAGTGATGTATAGGTCTGTTTGGCTGTAACAGCCTATGCTGATTTCTGTTTCTTTGGAGTAAAAGAATGAACGGAGTGAACAATTTTAAGAAAGTCCTAGAATAACTTTGTATATTGTAGCAACCAAGACCTTGGCTTGCAGYGTGCAATTCTAATTTCATTTTAAAATTCCAGCCATATCAAGGGTTGCCTGTAATTGAAAAGGCTCAGAAATTWGAGTGTGAGCTGCTTTTAAGTTGTCACTGCAGTACGGAGAAAGAAAAAGATGAAAAGCAAATGAATTTGTGGTAAAGCCTTGCTAAATTTGGGGAAGTATTACAAATATAAGARTGCCTGATCTGTAACTATTTGATTRTGAGATACTAAATGTTACTGGGAAGRTTGTATTTGGGCCAGTCCCTTGGCATGCAGGCGGTTTTAGTCCAGGTCTAAAATTTGTGTATAAATAGCTCCTTGATCAGGTCAGGTCATTCTCAACAGATTGGCCTCTGTGCCTGAAGGGGAAGCTCGGTGGGCAGGTTGGAGACTGTCACACACCAGCTCTGTTCCCCTGCCAGCAGTCACTTGAATAGACCTCTTCCCTTTTGTCAAGTGACCACAGAGTTACAGTAACCCTGGAGCAGTCTAATTAACATGACCTCTATCTTTGCCTGTGTCCTAAATACATGATAACTAAAAAATTTTCCACTAATTCATAAAACACTCATCATTGGAGGCTAAATGTTAGTTAGGTCAAGTGCTCACACCAAATCTGTTGAAAATAAAAATTAAAAAGGACTATATCTTATAAAATACCTAAAATGTTATACTAAGGTTAAGTCACAATTCAAACCCAATATATAAAAATATATATAAACTCTTGTGCAGGTTGTCATCAGCCTGTCTGTAAGTCAAGGTGGACCTTTCCTAACATGTCACACTGACAAAACTGTGAGCAACATTTTTGTTCTTTCCATAAGAACACAACCTACATTATTAAGCAAGCATGAGTCCCATTTATTTAATTAATACGTAAAAGCCCAGTGAAAAATTGATTTTCATATATAACCCAAGGTGGCTATGGAATMATTTCTGGACCTGATTCTATTTGACTGGCTTCAGTGTGAAATTTCATTAGGTATTCTAATAGCTTTGAAAGAGCTGCCACGATGTCCTGCATTGAATATATTGAAATTTGCCTCATGTGCTTTCTCAGCAGAAGCTGTAGCAGCCCAAATGCATTAATCTTAATCATACCTAAAGAAATCTCTACAAGCAAAAGAGAAACATRTATAGAGACATTTTAAAAATGAAATCTCAATTAAACCTTTAAACTTGGGTAAACTGTAGAGGAATATAAATTTAAATTTCAATAAAGAAGATCAATAGTTTTATACCTCAATGGGTTTTTAGGAATGACAAATGTCCTGGTTTCAGCTGGACAACATAAAATGACAGAGTGTAGACACACTGTGAATGTGTGCTTTCTAATCTTTGTCACTTCTCTCTGTAACCCATCAGAGTATGAATTGCTTTGAGTAGTCTACTTACCTTCACGGTCTCTCATGTAATTTCCATTGATTTCTGTGAAAGAATAAGGTCCTGGTGGAGAAAGGTTTCATAGCATCTTCCTATACCCTTTGATTTTCTGAATGCTCTATGAACTGACAGGCTGAAAGCAGCTTCTCTCAATTCAGGACTTGATTCAGAAGCCTTTTTAATAATGGCTGTTTTTGGAGCATAAATAGTCACTCTTGGAATCACTGAGGTGGTTTGTTTTGCTGCAATTATACTTTTATTAAATTCTAGGGCTGGATCAGCCCCTGATATTCAGTGTCTGGATTTGATGTTCAGTATGTGGGCTGCTGATGTTCCTTGCAGCATCTGTAGAGTCTTTGTGGCTGAGTTTTTCTCTGGAGCAGAAGGAAGCAGAAGGGATGGGTATTCACTGATATGGGTCAATTGCTTTTTGGGGGAGGGTAAAGCCTTCAATAATCCAGTTTAGGCAACCTATTAAATAATATATGGTTTCAAGGCACTATCCARTGTGACAGAGCTGTTAACCAGAGTTGTGAAAACTTTTCAAGACCAAACTAAAGCCCTGCACATTTCAGGCATCCTTTACAAGTGTGAAACATTTCTCAGGATTGCAAAACTCTATTAACTTGATAATCCTTTCAGGAGAAGTGTAGCTCTGCAACTATTGAACTTCAGACTTTGTGCAAAGGATAACAGTTTGTGTGGTCTAGCCACAGTCTAGAAAACCATGCATCTGAAATGGAGCTTCAAACTAAAATAAACCTAAGATTAATTTGTATTTCAAGCACATGCATCACTTTAAACTGCTGCTAAAAGTGGGAAAGAAAAATAAAACTCTTGTCTTGCAAACTGTTCTAATGAATGACTAATTCATTTCTGCAGGGAAAAAGTACAATATAATAAATGAGCCATCTGGGAATATATTTTTTCCTCAGAGGTATTATGTGTAAGAAACAAATCTTTTTGGTGTTATTAAATGTTGAACTCTAATTATTTTTAAAATATTCAGTTTCTGCTGACTGCATATAGAATATTGCACTGCTGTGCCACTTGGAGTTCATATATTCCACCAAAATTAAACCAGATGGTTTTAGTTATTATCTATTTCTTCTTCTAAAGGGAAGATTAATTCTCCAAATGTTAAAGCTAAAATGTTTGAACAAAAGTGGCAATGGCGCTTCATCTGTTTAAAAATAGCAAATTGTGTATATAAGCTGAATGCTAAATTATTGGATACTGTGTGATCCTCATTCTCTAGAGGGATTATAAAGTCTTGCACTTCATAGCTCTTTCTGTCATGATTTAATGTGTAAATATACCTCTCAATTTGACATCTGAACAGCTTTTCAGAATGATCTGCAGTTCAAATAATTTCCAAAGTACTATCTTTGATTGTACGGTAAATGGATAGTGATGACCTTACCTTTCATCTCATTTTCTAGATTATTTAGTGTAATATTGGAACAAYTAACCAAAGAAACAGACGGTGGCAGCCACTCAGGTGGCAAACCTGGTGGCTTTGATGTCAAAGCCCTAAGAGCCTTTCGTGTACTGCGACCTCTCCGGCTTGTATCAGGAGTGCCCAGTAAGCTCTGTTCTCTTTATTTCCATTGCAGTCAGGAATGGAACTTTGTTATTTAACCTTCTTCTTCCAGACACTGTAGAACTGAGATGGGATAAAGCTGAGATTTTGTTATCTGGCTGTGTTTATAAAATGAATTTCAAGAYGAGTGATACCCTATTTCAAGTTGAGCAAGGGATTGTGAATTCAGTCAGTGTATGATCTTCTTACACAGTTCARTAAGCAGACAGGGGAATACACTTCCCTTTTAGAAGCTTTATATAAAAGTAAATTACATGTTAAAATGCAAATACTCCAGAAAATAAAATTCAGATTTTTTTTTTAATTCTAAAACCCTGCATCTGAAAGTGTAGGTGGTCCTAAAATAGTTTATATGTTGGGAAGTGTATGCCAGAGCACATTACATATTCCGTGTTTCCTACTCCCTCCAATGCACATGAATGCCTTCTGTTTATCCCAGTAGAGCTAACAGACAAATTAGAAAACCTAAAAAGTAGAACAATATTGTTTAAAGAAAGCAGTTGAATTTCCTGATATTTCCTGTTTTAATGCTTTATTAATTATTGAAGCTATTTGGGCTATATGATGTTCAAGGCTTAGAGTTCAGCTCTTTCCAAGGCATTCAAAGGAAGAAAGCTAATTAATTCTGTGTTTATTGAATCATGGGCTGTTACATGGAAATGATTGATATTTGGCAAAAGGGCTTCAGTGAGGACCAAAGCAGTTCTATTAAATGTCAGAAAGTCTACCAAGTTAAAAAAGAGGAATATTTTATTCGTATTGGTACTGTGGCAGCTCCATTATTCTGGGATTCACTGATTTTGGTAAAGTCAAAAGTTGGATAAATATGTAATTGAAAAAAGAAAATAGAACAGTTTTGAAAGAGATAAATTATGAAAGAATAAGTATGCTCAGAGTTAAAATGTGTTTTCCAAGTTAATTATATTTTTCTCAGAGCAAAAATACGCTTCTACAGCTGACTGAGTGTACATTTTCTTGGAACTTGCCACAAAGTTGTTTTAGCACAGAACTTTTTAAAGGTCATATAAAATGACCTACAGGCACTCGCTGACTACGTGCCCTTTCTTTGTAAAAATACCCATAGATTCTTGTGACACATTTCAAGCACTGCCTTCTATGATATAACCTTTATTAGCAGAAGAAATAATTGGATAGAGTTCTTGAAAGGATTTTTATGTTACAGGAATATTTTGTTGGTTCTGGGCAGTAGATGTTTTAAAAATCCTGTTTATCTCTGCATCTCTGTATCATTAATTTCTAGTAATGTGTAATTATATAAAATTTGATAGAGCAAGATATAGAAATATGTTCATATCTTGTATCCTCTTTCTTTTTTTTTTAGGTTTACAAGTTGTCCTGAACTCCATTATAAAAGCCATGGTCCCCCTCCTCCATATTGCCCTTTTGGTATTGTTTGTAATCATAATCTATGCTATTATAGGATTGGAACTTTTTATTGGAAAAATGCACAAATCTTGTTTTCTTATTGATTCAGGTAAGTTATTAAATTGTTGATTAAATAAGGGTTTGATGTTTTGTTTCAAATCTGTGGGATTTCAATTTGAAATAGAGCTAGGGGCCAAAGCACTGAAGCAATTATAACCCCAGCTTACACTGGTTCATAATTTTAGGTACAGTGCTTTAAAGAAAAAAAAAATAAAAAAACAACCCAATGCCAAAGTCACAAAAAAAAAAATCAAACTAGTTACAGACAAAGCCATGCTCTGAATAGGTTTTAATTTCTGATATGTGTCATTGAAATATCACAGTGGAAATAATAGGGGTGACTGTGTACAGGGTAGAACTCCATACTGTGGTATTGTGGTAAGGAGTGCAGCTCTGAAATGAATGAAAAAGGAAAACAGTGTTCTTTCAGCCAGGTGAAATAATGAAATGAAAGTGCGTGTTATGGGAGAACTTTGAAGGAGTGAAACCATCTTACTTGGTGCTAAAGGTGCTTTCTTGTCAACTTAAGTAATGAAGAGTAAAAAATGTAGAGGAATTTCTGTGTAGGAATGAGATCAGTTTTCCTTAGTGGTCTGTGTGTTGGTGGGAAGTGCCATGAAGTGAAGTAGCAGAAGTGAAGAGGAAAGAAAGAATCAACATGARGAGCTTCTAAGAAATGGTTTATTATTTCATTATGCTTCTTTCCACGGCTTAATTACTCACGATCTTATATACATTATTTTGATTAACTTATTTTGAGGTCATAAGGTCCAGATCTGAGAGAGACTTAAATCTCCAAAACTCTCATGTGTTGTCTTTGTTAGCTTGAGAGCTGGATTTATCTCACAATAGCACTGATATTTCTTCATGGGAAGGGTTGAAGAAGGTTGATCATGAGAATGTGAGAACTCAGAGTTGTGATTTTCTGGTCCTTTTGCAGATATACTAGTTGAAGAAGATCCAGCACCTTGTGCATTCTCAGGGAATGGCCGTCAGTGTGTCATGAACGGCACCGAATGTAAGGGTGGATGGGTTGGACCCAACGGAGGCATCACCAACTTTGATAACTTTGCATTTGCAATGCTGACTGTGTTCCAGTGCATAACCATGGAAGGRTGGACTGATGTGTTGTACTGGGTAAGTTCAGAAATCACTGAGCTTTGTTGGCTTTTAAACAATTTTCTCTGTTCAAGTGGGGATTCAACCACAGCAGGAAATCTTGGTGAGCTGTGCAGCAGGCAAGCTCAGCTGCATACTGTTTCTGGACTCCTCAGGCTAAAAGGACATTTTAGAAACAAATTTATTCATTGCTTATTTGAGGGGTTTTTTTGCCTATTCCATTTGGATAAATGTAAAACTACATTTGTGTCCTTTGGACTTGCATTTTTTYGTGGGAGCCTACAGATATTAAGTATGTCTTCACTGATTAAGYTTAAGAGCTCTCTTTTTGCAGTATTTGTGCAGAATTTTTCACAGTGTTAACATAAATTAGAACAAAGCAAGCTCTCAACTGACATTGCTTGCCATGGGGACTGAAAATCATTTGTTAACCATTCAGAAACTACAATTTACAAGAGCTGTGGCCCTGACATCATCTCTATGGAAGCAGCAAAAGGTATACCCAAACCTAATTGTGTAAATCCTCACTTTTAAAGGCTCCTTTGGTGTAAAGTTTGGTACTTCCAGAGCCTTACAACATCAACCTTCAGCTGGACACAGACTGGGAAACTGAAGATGTATCTCCAATGAGAATGGAGGAAAATGAACAATAGATTTTTACACAGACAGGCATTCCTCTGCTTAACCCCATTCCACTCTAGGGGATGTGACACTCTTTTTGGGAATCTTGGAGTATCTCAGTATCTGATGTGAGTGATCAGTCTAAGGCCATTCAAGAAGTCCGTGACAGAGCCTCCCATAGGTGCTGAACATCCGTGAGAATATTCTGTACTACTTGTACTCAGCAGTAAGTCTTTGCAGCTATTAGGACCTTATAAAAAACATAATCTTAACCGTTCAAATGTTGGAAAATATGGAAGAAAAGTGAWTACTGGTAAGGATCACTGTTAGCAAGATGTTTAAAAGGGATGAGTTATCTCAAGGGGTATCTTATTGGAGGTTGTGTTGCTGACATCAGCTCACTTTGTAGGTTTGTTCAAGTTTGTCTGGCCAAGTGGGAGTATTTACTGTGGAGTACTGCATGCATTTAAGATGTACTATTACCCAGTGAATGACCACWTGATTTTTTGTGGTCATTTGTTGCAAATCAAGGTGAAATGAGCAGTTAATGAAACATGTAACACCAGAGTGTAGTGTCAGATAAAATCTGTGATACTGAAGCATAAACTATGGAGATGTTTTTAAGAGAATATCACTTAAAAGATAATTAAAATGATAAAATGGCATTCTTCTAGGATTGGAAAACAAACAAAAAAGGCTGATATGAATATCTGCTTYCTCTGTCATCAGTTGCAGAACTGGCTAGAAACAYATAAACCTTCAACACTAATRAGTAACAGTGATATATTGTTTCATRTAGGCTACTGCATGGTTTCTCATGGTAAAGGTTGTCAGTTCCTTGAGGATTGCACTCCAACTCTCCTCAGTTTTCTGGGAGATTGTGGCAATGTAGAGGTAGTATGTGTTTTATGGTTTGTGTTCTGGTGGTGACAATTATTGTAATTGTTCCTGAAAGGGAAGGTGTGCCATGGTCATCTAGAAAAAGATTGCACATTTAATATCTTTTGGGGCAAAAGTATACCCACATTTCAGGAGCTGATAATTCCTCCAACTTTTTTCAGAGAAATCTCATACAAAAACTTTGGAAAGTTGCTGTGTTTAGAATACAATTGTTATGAAATATGTAGAAACACTTTAAGTTGAGTGGCTCAGAATTAAACATTTTTTCCCCCGGGATTTGATGACCTAATTAATCTGCTGCCCTTTAGAAACCTTTRCAGAGTCTCCACTGACAGCACAAAAAAGAAAGTCTTTAAAACAGGCTGCTGAATATTTTCATAATCAGACAAAATGAAATTTGAAAATTATCAGAAAATTATAAGCAATTGGAAACTACATGAGTTGTTTTTGCTTATTTTCTATGAGGAGTTGTCAATGTATTTACAAGTACACGGATGTAATTTTTCATTTTATTACAAATGGTACTGGGATTACTAGATAACAAAGCAGAAATTTATTGACCTTGTGAAATATAATCAAAATCAGATATTCAAGTGGCTTTGGAATCTATCTTAAGTGATGCTTATATAATTAAATAATAGATTCAGATTCTTTCTATCTATAGACCATCAAGTTGCCCATTGTCGAGCAGTAATTACTTGCTGAGGACAAGGGGAATGACAATTTATAGRTTTTAATTTTATCACTGGGTCAAGCTGAGGTAGATTTAGCTAAAAATTGGAAAAGATTTAATTTCATTTGAAAATTGTAAAAGCATTATAAGGATAACAAATTGTAGTGAAAGAATGCTCAGAGAATCCAAGCAAGCCATTTTAGCTCAATGTGCATGGTGTTTGTGGATTTCTTTTTCCTTAGAACTCTGTAAATAATACACGGACTGAATGAGTTTTATACAAAACAAATAAAACCAAAGTCACAAATATCAGAAACCATGTAAAATTCTCATTTTTCATTTGGTCACTGTGTGAACAGTGAAATAAACTTATGTGAGCTTCTCTTGCTAGCAGGTGTAATGTGAGTAGATGAAATCTGCAGTATTTTGCATGGTGTAAAGTGGCATTCAGTCAGCAAGGATGAGAGCTGGAAATGACAACTTCCAACTGCACTCAGTGGCACAGCTCTTTATCACCTGGTTAACGACACTGAACTTGGTTTAACAATTCTCCAAGCACCAAGAAAGCTTTTTCTCTTATGCATATCTATTATAAATTGAGGCCTTGATCCTGCTGCTGCTGGGCACCCTTCAGATGGTGGTGACTCTTGTGGGAATCCCAGTGCTCCCCAGTTTGCATCCCCATCCCATGTGTCCTACAGGGCTTTAGTGTCTGCATTTGGCCTCTCTTCTCTCTCTAACTTACTGTAACTCACTGGATAGCAGCTATCATGTGGTTTATCCACAAAAAATATGACTCCTCAGTCCCAAGGGTGGGAATTTAAGGGTGAGGGGTGTTGTCCTAGTTTCACAAGTGAAGCCTGTGTGCTCCCAAACTGTTTGTTTGTGGCTGCACAAACAAATCTGTATATGCTCTCCATTTGTATCAGGACCGTGTTTATTCCCAGTCATGRTCCTTTCTGTTTTYTTTTTTTTTGGAGCCCTAACTGGGGGCTGATGGTTTTAGTTTTGGATTTTTGGATGCTGGTGCAGCCCTTGTTATCAGCCAAGTGGCACTGTGCGTTATCACTCTGCGTGCCCAAGTGTTTAATGCTCTGGCTCACATTCTGAAGCTGAGAGCAGAGTACTCTTTGTCTCGTTCTCAATTTGTGCTAGCAGGCTCTCAGGAAYTGCAAAACTCCAATCTGCATTTGCATATCTGGCTCCAGATTTTCCCCATGTCTTCGAAACATCTCGATGTATAATCTATTAATGGCAAACACGTATTTTGTAAATTGCTTTTTATTTTTAGCTGCTTCACTTGATACATGGGAGCACGGATAATGAGCAGTGATACTTGCCAGCAAAACCCCCAATTTTCCCATGAGCACCAAAATTATCACATTTAATTCTTGTTTTCACCATAGTGAAGTTATCTTGAGTTACTACACTGGAAGAATCCAAGTGTAGCTTGAATTGACGATGGTCAGAGCCTCTGAGAAACAAAGTGCTTAATGGGATGGGGTGCCAGCACAGCCMATTCAAAGATGGACAAATGAAATTAGTGGCTACTGAATTTTACTAGGTCAATTTTATGGACAGATGCTGCATTACTAACTCTGGTATTTACAGTTCCTCAGTTCTCTAACACCTGTCTAGCAYGGCTCAGTCTGATCTGGAGATTTCTGAGACTGAAGCACTCGAGCTAAAATTGCTGAATAATAACACACTGATATCTAACATGGTTTTGCCTATTAAAACACCTCACTGATATGTTAACAAGATATTCTCTAAAGGATTCTCTAAAGGTTTAAAATACTTGGTTCATTACTTGAAATGTCTAGGCAATCTAAAATATACCTAAAACTCCTCTAAGGTTTAAGGAAAGGGATGTCAGTTTTTTTAAATATATCCTTTACTGATATGTCAGCTTTTAAAAACTGTTACTACCTTTTGCTAACACCATATATTRTCATCAAAGAAATACTTCATTCATAATTCCTCTGCTTTTATAACAAAAAAGGTGCACTTAGGAACCTGTCTCCTGTTACAGAAATTAAGCTTTGTATTCCCCAATATAGTCCTTGAAGCATCTTAGCATATCTGAAAAAAATCCACCATTTTTTGTAACACAGACTGTTTAGGCTGCACTGCACTCTTGTGTATGTCTAAATGCACTTTTACATAAGTGTCTGTACAGCCAGCATTAATGTCAGTCAGATCAGGCCAGGAGCTCCTGACACTTTTTAGAATTCTTCTATTTATGGATCTTTAAGGACAGAATCAGGCATAGTCTACTTGAAACCAGCTGTATGCAGCCAAGGATATTTCCTAAACACAAACAAATGTTTTACAAATACATGTCATACAAGGAAACCCCTCAGCTCATACAGGAAATCTATTATTAGGCTATAAACAAAAAGCTGCAAAATATTTTGAAGTGTTATCAAAACTGTCATCAGAGGACTGACAAGGAGTTGCCTAAAAATACCTTTCAAAAATGTGTCCAGGAGTCAAATAAGCAACAATATTCTAGAACTTTGAAGTGAAGGGTTTAATAATCTAATGGGTGGTTTAAGAGGTAATATTAGTCCTATTCCACCTGCAGAAAGGGAAGGCAAACTCCTGCATCCAAACAATATTTGTCAGCAATGAATTTCGGTTTACTGTCTGAGAGAAGTCAAAAAATGCYTGGCAGCTTTTTTCCATTTGTATACCAGTTGCAAATACTTCGCAGTTAAAAATTGTGTGGAAAAATGGTAGAAAAATCTTAGAGAAAATGCTTATTTCTGCCTTTTATTCTCATGCACCTACGGAAAGCCTGGTGCTGTCCTGTTAGCATTGC